CGAGGAACGGAGGCTCGCCCGCTTGGGCGAGCCGGCCGAACTCACCAGCCGCCGACTCAGGGAGAACCCTCGCCGGAACACGAGGTACGAGTGGGGGGGGGGGGGCGGGAGGCCGAGTACGCGTCAGCGATGAACGACCGGCGTCAATTGAAATTACGGCATCATCAAGTCACAAAATCGAAACGTATGCACGTGTGCATCAATCCGCCAGTCAGTTTCCGAGAGGTATCTCGCTAAATTTCCATGTATACCCGCCATACCTGACGTGAGACTTGACAAGTGAGCTTGAGCCCTACTCTAGGGGCATGGCAGCGGTAAGGAGTGCTGGGAAGACCCGGAATTGAACTTGACATTAGCCGGTGCTGCAGCACACCAGGAAGGACACCTACGGATGAATACTGCTGTATGTGGTCTTCACACGGCAGGACCCAACGGCAGTAGCAGTAGCAACACCAGTTGCATCGTTTTGAATGCTTCCAGGCGGCGTAACCGTTATGCGGTCCAAAGGCCTCCAATTGCCTTGCAGCAAAAACAGCAACAAGCACCACACAGGCCTCGCAGCGTTCGACCCAAGTATTGATCCGTGTTGTGGTGGACAGCCAATACTTCGTCGCGCGTTGGGTACGGCACGAAAAAAAAATCTACTTCTTCATGGTCACACTACCGACGAAGAGTGTACGGCTGAACCCTTCTTGTCGAGATAAAAAAATATGGCATCCACAACGTGCAAAAAAAATAAGGAACACATGACTGGTGCAAAGACTCTCTGACATCCGGGGGGACGCACGCACGCACACGTGTTTTTGCTGAGGACTGCACTTGATTTCACTTTTTCACAACACAACCGTACGCGCCCGGTTGGAGTTTATAGCAGTATATCGTTAACATAAGGATGGACATGATTCATGTGATGAACCACTACCTCAGGTCCAACCCTAACCCTATGTAGACGAACCCTCTACAATGTAAATGGTTACGGTACGTGGGCTTACAACATAATTCCCGTGCTAATTTGTGAAGAAATTTCCTCGACGAGCTGAGCTGGCTAGCAACCGAACCAGTTTAAGTCGGCGCGAGGAATGAAAATAAAATACTCCAACCACCCCAGGTACAAAGCCCATCTGGCAAAGCCTAGGGAATAGCCTTGCCTACAATGGCTCGGCGCGGCTCGACTTGTAAAATACTGTGGTATGCGCACCCTCGGACTTCAGCTCGACAACACACACCCAGCGACCTTAGGGAGCCAGTATTGATGGCGAAGAAATTTCCTCCCCGAACTGGTTATCTACGCATACATTACAACAACTGAATCATTTGTAGCCAGCGCGGACGAAAAAAATAATTTCCCTCCACGACTGGGTATCTACACAGACAACTGAATCATTTGCAGCCAGCGCGGACGAAAAAAAATACAAGACCAGCCCACGGGTAGAAAGTAGGAAAGCCGAGCTGCTGACACAGCCTCGGGGGGCAGCTTTGCGTAGAATGGCCGCCGGCCGCGCGTCCACTCAATGATGTGTGGTGCAAAACACTTTGTATCTATGCATATATAGACCTCAGATACACACTACCGCACCCAACGACATTACAGTAGACAGTAGCACCATAGACGCCAATTAGTCCAAGTCTTGCCAAGTCCGTTATACGCTGGCGCGAAAGACACGCCCTGCCCTACGGCGTGGGTGACAAACGTGAAAACCCCCCTATCCATGGGACAAGGTTTTGGGGTTTGGCCTCTTACGGGATGCGTCGCCGCTGTATCGTGGCTTTTCCGCCCTCTCTGTCAATCATGGACTGATTGTGAGTGTCTCGAGTGTGCGGCAAAAAAAAAAAACATCCTTATCGTTGTACTACGTGGATGTTCATGGCAAGCAGCGGATATCCTTGTTTGCAAGCATGCATACGCCGACAGGGCCCCCCTACCGCCACGTTTTCAAGTTGGCACTGCTTCGGTGTTCCCTGTGTAATGTGGTCATTTTTGTCCCAAAACTCTCGATTGTCGAACCTGCAGTTGCCAAATCGTTTTTGGCCTGTGTGCCCGTCGACAACAGGAAGAAGGAGGATCCTGGGATACATGGAATACGTATGCTAAAAACGCGCGCATAGTATTCGTGATGAACACCAAGAGTAGGTAGCAAATGTATGCAAGCATTCGCCGGTGTCTGTCCCTAGGACAAACATCGACCGAAGCACCGCATAAGGACGGCTAGATGCACACCTAAAGCCAGAGTCGTGGAACAACCCCACCAAACGGACGGCAGGCACTGATTTGCTGTTGCTGATAATAAACCGAACAGTTGGCCATGTAGAAATTCCAAAGAGGCCAGAGGGAAACGAGTGGATCACCAGTCGCGAAAGTACGCAAGTCTTCTTCGCAAGCCTTCGGTCATGGACGCCTTGCTTGCTTGGGGTCAACAAATCTACGTAGGAACAAAATACCCCTGCGAGGAAGAAGCGGTTTGTTCACCCCGCCCCCCCCCCCCCGCACCCTGGCCGCACGACAAAAAAGAGAGGCAGTATCGAATTCGTACCACGAAAAGAATGGTCGGCAGCCAAGTACGAAGTACTCTTGGTTTGTAGCAAGACCCCACGCGTCTCTTTTGGCAGCAGATTTGATCGCACACACATGTGATGGGGCTGACCTGTAACGTTTCGATGAGGAGCTCCTTGCTTAACGCGCTCACCACGCGGTTCTCCACCACCTTGAGCACCCGGTTATCTAGTCGGATCTATGTAGGCGTGATCGGGAACCGGCGGGAACGGCGCGCGGGTTGTTGGAGGGAAAGAGAGCAAAAAAGAAAGTCCTCCAGACCAAAAAAAACGGAACGACGGTCGTGTGAGAGTGAGAGACAGAGAGGATTCAGCAAGCAGACGGGAGAAAAAAATCATGGCGGTTCTAGCGCCTTCCGCCCGTGAAGATATACCGACTGCAAGGAATATCTGTGGGATGGGCGCCCGTATGAAAAGGGTACGTGCCGCATTCATCCAAGAAGGAGACCTTACGTGCCTCACGAAACAGGCGGCAGGCCGTCATGTACAAAACTCTGCTATGGTGCGGCCGAGAGCTCCGAGAGAGAGAGAGGAGGTAGAGGTTTTTGTTTGATTTCACACACAAGGTGCTGCTCGCTGGCTGCTTGCTTGCGTGTTTTTCGTTTGTGCATCACAAATCGTATATGACAGCCTCGGACAACAACAACAACAACAACAACAACAACAACAACAACAACTACCTGAACATCATGCCAGCAGCCAGAGTTTAGATAACACAAACACGTCAGTAGCAGCGGGGGGTGGCGGGGGCACCACCACCGACAACACTTCTTCTCGCTCACCTCGTCTGCCTTTTGCATCGGAACGCGGTCTACTGCGAACCCTGTGAAGATAGAGCTGTAGGTAAACGTGGGCTTGTAGCCCTTGAGTACAGACGAGAGCATCTCGTAAGGTGTCACCGTCGGTTGTAGAATCACGATGTACGACTCCGGGATTCGAATCTCGCGCACGGCGGTCGGCGGTGGCCGATGCGGCCGACTTGATCGAGCTGTTCTCGTCCCATTCGGCATGGTCGCTGGGGCCCTGCCCTGCCCTCCGCCAGTACCCCTTGACTTTCCCGACACACTCCTCCTGTAAATCCGCTCTCTTTCTCTCTCTCCTCCTTTTCCTCTCTCTCTCTGTTGTCGGGCGATTGATTGTGATGTGCTTTCTCCACGGTAGGGAGGAGCGCGCGCGTTCACCCCTGCCGTCGCCGAGCGATGTGCGTCGTGCACGTGCCTCCTGGCAGGTCCGTGGGTCGCGATTGCTCGAGTTCGTGAGACCAAACACAGCAGCGGTAGTCTATCTTCACAAAACGTGTGTTCCCGGTTTGACGCTCCTCTTTTTGCTTTTTGCGAAACAAAATGGCGAGACCCCCTCTGTCGCTGCGTGTGTCTTCGTGGTATACGATGTAGCCAATCTGTGTGCCCCCCTCCCTAGTTGCCGCTGTTTAGTTGCCCCGCCTGCTTCCAACTCCGGTCTCTGGTGCACTCTGCGCGGGCTGCACACGCGCAAGATGAAGATGCCGAGAAGGTCGCTGGCCAGCCTCGTGCTGGGAGCCGGATCTCTCGTAAACGCAGCTACAACGCGAAGCCAAGCGCGAAACGATGGCCGCATCCTCTTGGATGCCGTCAAGGTAAGACCTACAATTACCTGACACGAAAAGTTGTCCAATTTTTATGTACTCCGGTTTACTCCGACACGCTACAATACGGAGCGGTTACGCTGTGTCCTTTGGTTTATTTGCCTCAGCTACACACGCGACGTAGCGGGAACGCTTTGGTTGAGCGAGCGTGCGTGTTACTGGAGCCAATCGGCTGTCCATCAGTGCATTCGGCTTGGCGAGAGCTGCGGTTGCGCTAGCAGTGCATTTTGTCGTGATTGAAGTTCCCCATCGCTAAATAGGTGTCGCTGACAAACACGAAAGGGAGGCACACCTATGTGGGCGTGCAGGATTGTGTAAATGCGGTGCAGATAAGTGTGTGTGTGTATAGAAACACCAGCACACAGCAGGGAGGGAGGGGGAATATGCTGAAGTCTGCTTCATCTGTTGGCCAATCAGAACTGGACTTTCGATTAGTCTACAAATATACTGAACTACCCGAAGTCGAATACATACAGCAGTCGTCGACCTTCCATCTGTTTCCTGGCTTGGTTTCCCTCTCTCGTTCTTTGTTTCCATGCACGCAGGTTATAACGCTCCACGACTCGAAGGACACCGCCGGGAGACGTTCTGCTCCTGTGCCACAGCTGGTCTGTCGAGGTGCGTTTGTTTCATCGGTGCTTGCGATCGTACGAAGGGATGGCTGCCCACAAAATAGTTCCCGCCACACAGAGAAAGTTCCCGGCATCCAACACAGCTGTGACGGCGTACACGTGTCCAGCCGGCGGCACACCACCACAGACACGGCAAGAACACTTGCAAGCACCATAGGTTTGGTTGTGGTTGTTGCGTTTGTTCTATACGCGGACCACTCTGGAATGAATTCCTCCTCCAATACGCCAGCCTTTGGGTCACTTCGCGCCCGAGTAGTTCTCCACACGCTTTTTTTTTGGGCGCTCATCACACTCCCCGCGCGAGGCGTGTGCGTAGATAGCCACCCCGGAAAGTTTCCTGGCAACAACCAGAGCGTGTAGCTCTGTCCTCTTTTGGACGTCGTAGCGCTCCATTAAAATTTATTCTCAAATGGAACGGCGGCGGTTGCTACGCATCATTATCGACCCGGTGCAGTGGGTACAACTTGAGCGTCTCTTTTGATATGGGCGTCATCGATTAGTAGTGCCGCCCAGCGAACGCGTGTTTTTATCCTCGGTTGCGCTATAACCACCAGGGCAGTAGACAGCCTTCACCCTATTCTTCAGCAATCTATGCAACCCCACCCCCCCACCCCTTGATCTCTCCTGCATAGAAATGGCAACGCTCAGGGAGACAACGTAGTATTCATGCCCTCTTGTTGCACGTGACGAAAGACCATCTTACGTAAGCTCGTGCCTTTTGTTTTCGCTCTCCTGGGACAGGCGCAACACAACCCCCAACCGAGCCGCGCAAACAATCGATCAACGCCCCTTAGAAATACCCCAACCAGAGCGGCACCCTTCTCCGAATCCATCCATCTCACATTGTCTCTTCTAGTTTTTGACAGGGGACGACACTGTCTCTACCCCCCCCCCCCCCTTATGTTGTGTCATCACCTTCCCCACTCTGTTCTTTCGTGTCTCTCGGCTCTACGGACCTACGACCTACACCAGGAGGATGCCAAGAGTGGGCTCCGGAAGTCGTCCAGTGCTACAACATGGGGAGCGACGGCACGGACGCGGCGTGGAAGTGCGAGGCCAACATGCCAGACGGTTACAGCTTCTCCTCGGTCGAGGTATGACATATACACATGGACGAGTTAATTAATGAATCCGTTTGGGTTTTTCGTCTTGTTGTACTCAGATTCTGAGGCCAAGTTTCTCCCTCCAAGCAACAGTTGTTCTGTCGGCGTTGAGTGATACGCCTAGAGGCAGAATGCTACGCGGCCTTTGGTACAAGCTGCATGGTAGGTCCTGTCAGGCCGTACGTCGCGATGCGCTTCATAGCGGCCAGCCCTGTGTCGTTCGTTAGAATCGCCGTTCTCCTTGATCCTCTCGGTCTGTGGGCGTCACTGCTGCGAAACGGCTACTTATTTGCCATTGACTGTTCAAGTAACTGCACCGAAAACAACAACGATATGTTGGTCGACTGTGATAGGCGACACATCGACTCTTGTCTGTGCTGAAACCCTTAGCCATGGCTACGGAGATGGATTGGGCACTGGTTGCTGTGCGGCGAGAAAGGGCGTTTTGCTGCTCCCCCTCTCCCAATACTCGTGAAGCGTTCAATACATGCACACATGGGCCCTAAGCTCTGTCAATTAGAACGTTTTTTGTTTCTCCAGATTCAGGTCCGAACCCTATCACCGTATCAAGACCCCCGCTCGATCGCCAACAAAGACAGCCATGGCACTACTTTGCTTCTTGCGAAAGCTTACTGGTATTATCGATCCCCTTCATGGATCAGCTTTGTCCGCATACTCTCATTTTTACGTATCGCCTTCTCCCCCGATTGTCCGCCCTTTTCGTCGTGCTCCTTGCATGTGCACTAAGGTGGGCTGTGAGGGCTATGATCACCCAAACGACCCCTACATCCTCAAGGACTCGTGCCAGCTCATCTACTCCCTCAGAGCTCCCCGCGGGAACGGCGGCGGCCGCGGCGGAGTAGGCGACGACGGATGGGGGAGCTCCGCGCGCTCGTGGGAAGACGGCAACAATCCCACCTGGGACGGGCGGCCGGCCGGGAGAAAGCGCGGGCGTGGGGAGGTGGGGACGGGGAGGGGCTTCGGAAGCCGTCTCATGACGTGGGCCGTGCTAGGCGTGGTAGGCTACGTTTTGTACAACACGTTCCTGCGGGCCGCGGAGACCCCCTTTGGCAGTGGTGAGTGGGACGACACATGAAATTGGAAGAACGCTTGTGCCGTGGGGAGGGGAGAGAGGGGAAGGGATGCGAGAAAGCCGCGTGTTGTTATCGACCTATATATAGCACCAGTAGTGGCAGGGGCGAGCTGGCGCACGGTATCGGGTTGCTGGCTGTGTGCGAATGGAGATCCCGCACCTTGAATGGCTGCAGCGGTGTGTTTGGTTTCCAGAGTGTCGCGGCGCAACGATGTTTTTTCTGTAGCACCCTGCTTGCAAGTGTAGTCCGTCATTTTTGTGTTCCATCCTGATTTTCCGCAAGGCAGAAAGGAAGTAGCTTGTTTTCTTGTTTTGGAATCCACACCTCTCTCACGGATGTGTATTTTCGCTTGTGTTTAGAAGCGGTCGCTGTCTTCTTTGCTCAACCTCTCCGGTCCTGGGGTACTGTTACATTGATGGCTCATTTACTGTGTGCGGCGCCCTTACCTCTCGTCGTGCTTTTGCCACCGAAGCAAGAGCGGTTGATTACTGCGGGCTCGTGTCGCGCGTTCGAGAGGCTCATGGCTATTATAGTGTTCATGCGCGACATCAAGATGCTGTTTGTCTTGTTTTGTTTTTCACACCGACTGGGACTCGATCGAATCAAATTCAAGTCTCGAGTCTCGCGTCTCGCGTCTACATGCACACCAACTCCCAGACCCCCACCCTCACCCCAAGTTGTGTCTTGTACTCTTCGGCAAGCTTGTGGGCACTTCTCTGCACAGTGTATCGCCTCCTTACCCCCCAAGCAAACAACGTTTGCTGGTACCCTCCCCACATGTTTGCCATCACTGCCTGCTTCTCTTGTCTCCCGGTTGATCGGCGTCCATACTTGTTGCTTCTCCCTCCTGTGTAGGCCCATCGCCGCCGCCACCAACGTCGGGTGGAGGCGGCGGATGGGGCGGCGGCGGCGGCGGCGGCGGCGGCGGAGGCGGCGGCGGAGGCGGCGGCGGTGACAACTGGAGAGGGGGCGGTACGGACAGCAGCGCGGGCGGCCCCCCTTCAAAGGGGGCCGCTGCTGCCGGAACCGCGCCTGCCGCCTCTGCTCCCGCTCAAGGAGGGGGCGTGTTTCCATGGCTGGCCGGTGGCGGAATAGGAGCCGCTCTCGGATACATGCTCCGGCCCCGTCATCGGAGGCATGCTCCCGCAAGGGGTGGCATGGCTTGGAATCAAGGCTACGGGACCGGTACCTTTGGTGGAGGGGGGGGCGGCGGCGGCCGGGCGTACCGGAGGAGGGGGTCGGGCGGCGGTGGGGGCGGGGGCGGGGGCGGGGGCGGAGGAGGAATGCAGGCCGGATACGGAGGCACGTCACGCCGATGAAAGGGGGGATGAATACCGCCTCTTCGAGCAAGCGCAACTCCGGTTCCACAACCCCCCTTTGTTTTGGACTGAGGCTTTGCTTCACTAGTTTGTTCTCCTGCGCTGCGGTCGCACAAGTAGGAGGTGCGAGTCCCAAACGCCTGCCCTGTATTGACGATCAGGTCTAGGTTACGTCTCCACCGTCCTTCCCGGTCTCGATTGTTGTGAGTGTGTAACGTGGGGCAGGAAAAGTTGTAGAAATAGTTGTTTTTGTGGATAATTGCGGGTGTATCATATGCCAGCTGGTAGAGGAGACCGCGTTGTTGTGTTTTTTGTTGCGTGTGTTTCAGCCGTTGGTCCGAAATCGACAACAAGAAAAAAGCTTACGCGAAGACCGATCAGCCTTAAGCTCGTGGGCGCGTGTCGTTTCGTGAACGTGCGAATGTGAACAGATTCGCTTTTCCATGCGCTCGGTCGGTGACAGCAGTAATTGGTAACCTTGTGACAAGCTTCTGGCTGTTGAGCTGTGGGTTTCAATATCTCCGGAGTAAAAACAATCGCAAGTTGCAAGTCGGACGTGAGCAGCGCGCAGCAGCAGTGTCGTGAGTGCACGCAAACACGAAAGAGAGACTGGATGGTTTTCATGTCAATAATTGAAGACAACACGAAAACCTCCTGTGTTTCCATCCCCTCCTGCGCGACCCCGGCCGGTGCATCAAACGTGTACACACCCCATGGTGCAGACTGGTGTGGGCTGGAGGTGCCCAGAACAATTGGGACGAGGACACACACACACGTACACACCATCGGTTGAGAAGACGCCTTATTTTGAAACTCCGCAGGTCATTTCAAGCTCGCTCCCCTTGCGTGAGCGCCGTGTGCGGCTCAGGAGGAATAAAAGCCACAGGATGGCCCTGCTGTGCTGGCCGGCGTGCGTCATTTGGCGCAGATACAGCAAGCATGCAGCAGTGTTCGGAGTTTGACGAAATTTCATGTTAGGTGTTGAAAGACGCTGTGGCCCTGTCGACCGTCCAATCCGGATTGGATGGTCTTTCGTATGCGGCTGTTTTCAAAGGAAAATATGACCTCGAAATAATTGGGAAAAAGCTTGGAGCGCGCCGACGCAACAATGTCGAAGCCATGTTTGCTGTGATTGGTCGAAACGATCCGATCCGCCGCAATCGTTCTTCTTCGTGGCCCTTGAAATAATTCTTGCATGCGGGTCCCCTGCAAGGATAGCAGCGCGCGACGAAGAGAGTGAGAGCGATGCTTGCTGTGATCGGGCAAAACGATCCGATCTCCATTCTTTCTTCGTGGCCCTCTGAATATTTCTTGCACGCGCGGGTTTTCGGCAAGCACAGCAGCGCGCGCGGGAAAGAAACTGGTCGTGTCTGGTGTATTCAACCAAGACCAGATAATAAATGTACAACGTCTAGTCTATCCGTGCCCTGCGGCGACGAAACGCGCCACCAGCCCTCGTCCTCTACTGGTGGTCAGTTACTCTGCTCGGTGAGAGAAGGACAGCACATCGGCGGGAAGTGCTCCACGAGATGGTGTCCAGCCTGGACGAAGAGAGCAACTCTCTTGTCTTAACACTCTTCTTGGCTATAAGAAGAAGAGAGCGAATGCCCCTTGTCGCGAGGCAACAAAATCAAGCGCGAGCGTCAGCAACGCGGTGCTGCTGCTGCTGCTGCTGCTGCTGCTGCTGCTGCTGCTGCTGCCAAATCGGCTGCAACCGAGCGTGTGGACGCTGCCTTGCGCGAGAGACCTCGGCGGCGCGGCCGGCGGCAGAAGACGACGTTGCGCGCAGGAAATCGCCGCTTGCGAGAAAAAAGCATGATGAGAGAACAATCTGCGCAACTCCTGTCATTTTCCCCGGTTCATTTCGGGGCCTACTCGTAGTAAAAGAAGTGTAAATGTTTACAGACATGTACCTAACTTTTCTACTTACCGACTATCTCCTCGCCAAATCCCACCCTACTAAAGGACCTCCCTCCCTGCCTGTTGTTACACCACAGTCGCTGTTGCCCGCTCGTCTCAATTCTCTCGTGGGCCGAAAACCGTGCCCTCTATGCATGATACAACGGCAGAGACAGCAAGCAGTATAGACGGACCAATTGCGCCCCCCCCCCCCCCCCCGAGGAGAAGCCCACCCAACCCCCCTCCACCCCC